TGTTGATCTGCAGTTGGAGATTCATTGTTGAATTCACTTGACTCACTTCTAGCAGTTGACTTCTTCTACACGCCACTAGTGAATCTTATATGTTGGGTTCATGTCCTAAGTATTATCCTTACCAACCTTTGTGTGATTATTCTATTCAGTAACCTTCCCTAGGTTACAGCAGATACTTAATATCAAGGGTGATTGAAACAAAAAGAAAAAGAATCTAAATGAAATCAGCTATATTATATAACCAAAACACATAAAATTATATATATATATATATATATATATATATATATATATTTGTGTGTGTAGTTCAGGGAAAAAGATTTTCCTGAATCTGGTAAAGAAAAACATCTCAAGGGAACTATCAGAATTGTTTTAACCTATTGCTAAATTTTTATGTGTCATTTTGCACTAATAACTTTCAAAATATTCTAAGAAACTGGGGCAATTTTTTACCATTTTTTTCAGAGTGCTAGTAATTATTAGTAAATTTTACTCCCTTCACATGTGCAATAAATCACTTGCTATAAGTCATTTACTAGCCTTATGAAAAATTTAGAAGCTAGTTTCACATGAACATCAGTCAAAATTTAGAGACACATAAATACATACTTTTCATTTATTTTTCAACACAAAAAAGTTTTTAGTCTGAATTTCTGGGATAAGAAGTCATTATTATTTACTCTAGATTCTCACTATTGTCCTCATCTTTGTTTTTGTTCTCATAATGTTTCAACCTTTGTGCCCTCCAGCCTTCATCAGGTGCATATAGAACCACGTAACCTACAACATTACCACTAAAGACAATGTGTCAACCTCAACTGTGCCCATTGAGGCTGATATGCCATTAAACAAAATAAACCAAAGCAATCTAAACCAAAGAATACATACTCTATTCATACGAATCTATCCTAAAAATGTTGTCGGCATTAAATAACCCATTGAGGTTGATATGCTGTTAAACAAAATAAACCAAACCAATCTAAACCAAAGAATACATACTCTATTCATACAAATCTATCCTAAAACTGTTGTCGGCATTAAATAACCCATTGACGTTGATATGCCGTTAAATAAAATAAATGAAACCAAATCTTTTTACTGAATAATCAGACTTAGTTAATACTAGGATATACTAGGTTTTGAAAATAAATTTGTATTGTGTCTTTCAGACTCACTGTGTGATATTTTGTTGTGTTATGTTAATTAGCTGATGCTTAAGCCCAGGGGAAAGGTTGAATCTCCAAGTTTATAAGATTAGTATAATATATGCATCATTCTTTATATAGTATAGTTCCGGTTATGATGTTTACAGCAAAAGGTGTTAATAAATTCTTCTGACCCTTCTCAATATATTTCTCTCAGAGTAGTAATGTTTTAAGTTTTTTTTTTAGCATTTAAGATATTTATACCAATTCTTCAGAACAAATGACTTTTAAATTTCTTCTTTGAAACCAATACCAAAATTATAAAATAAATGTCTCTCCTGACAATATAAATCATTTGATTTGGGATGTAATAAAAAGAAATGAGATACAGCTGGACAAAAATGATGTCTTGCAAATTTCTTTAAAAAGTATTACTTCTTCTCCATCCTTCTAAATATATTAAGAATTCTATAATTTATCTTGCTTTGTGTAATGCTAGCTTTTGATACATTTTCATGGACACAACCAACTAATATCACCATGACTCTGATTTTGCTAATGGTGCTTCACTTTTTCTGCCATTTTCAGTACTGCCATGCTCCTGATATGATTACTACCTTTTCTTCAAGTCTTGCAGACCGGCACCATGTCTCAGCATCTGTCTAGCACAAGATTGCCAGCCTCACTGAGTATTACTAGGTTGCTTGGAAACAAACGAGTCTTTGACATTCCGTTAAGTCTTTGCCTTTATTGATCTTTAAAATGCTGTTCCAATGCTTCCTTAGCTGTCCACTCGCCGAGTTGATTCTAAGGTTAGAGAGAGAAAAATCAAAAGAAGAGATAGACAGACTCAGATCAAGATGGAGAGAGAGCGAAGATAAAGTGGAAATGAAAGAGATGTTAATAGATATAAGCAATAGAAATAAAATAATAAATTAAGAGAGGAGAAAATAGCAAGAGAGAAAGAAAAATGTAGAGGAGATAAAACTTTGAAGTATAGAAAGCAAGAAAAAGATCATAAAACTGAGAGAGAGAACTTGAGGATCTGAGTCTTGAAGAAACATGAAACAAAAGAAATAAAACACAATAAGTATCTGTCTACATTCCTGAGATGAGGTATTATGTACACTATTTACTTTATTCAGACTATTGTCCTCATCTTTGACGCCATATTTATTACAACGTTTCGGCCTTTCAGTATCTGTCTATATTTCTGAGATGAGGTATTATGTACACTATTTACATTATTCAGACTATTGTCCTCATCTTTGTCAACTTATTTATTACAACGTTTCAGCTGTTGTACGCTCTGGCCTTCTTCAGGTGGTTGGAATGTCAAACTGAAAAGGACACATGGCACAGTCGTTAAAGGTGTTCATTAGATCCAGTGACAGGACCAAAAGAGTGTGAGTTCAATATCCGGTTATGGCAGTGGAGAACTTGGAGAGGGGAATTAACAGGAGATAACTGATAACTGACATCCATTAAACATGGCACATGGAACTAGAACAGTCTACCCCAGTGAGTGAAATAAAGGGTTCAGTTTGACATTCCAACCACTTGAAGAAGGTCGGAGTTTACAACAGCTGAAACGTTGTAATAAATATGGCAACAAAGATGCAGACAATAGTCCGAATAATGTAAATAAAACACAATAAAGCAATGTAGGGATGATAAGTAAGAGGAAAGCATTCAAAGAAAAGAGAGTAACAAAAGAAAAAGTAAGACAATATGAGAGAGAGAGAAAGTGAGAGAGAGAGAGAAAAACGTGAGATTAACAGTATGAAATAGAACCAAGTAGAAAGATGTTGCAAAGGTAAATGTTTGAGACAAAATTAAAAAAAAAAACATCTTGTCAGAGATAAAGAAATCAAGATGTGAAATTGAGGGACAAAATAAGGAAGAGAAAATACAAGAGAGAAAGACAGAATGTAAATTGGCAGCTAATGTTCAAAATGATCTTCAGTCTGTTGCTAGATGGGGCAAAGGATCGTTTCTTAATTTTAACTCCTCCAAAAATAAACAGCTCTCCATTAATCATCTGGGATACCCCTCTCTACCTTCTATTACTATGGCTGATGCTAACCTCCAGGAAAGTGATATGTTGTGCCTTCTTGGGCTAACTTTCTCAGCTGACATGAAGGGGAAAGGCTATATTGAATCCATTGCTAGTTCAGCTAAAAAAAGTTGGTTCACCGTGTCATGCAAGACAATTTGTCTCTTCAGAATCTACCTTACATATTTATAAGTTTACCATTCATCCATGCTGCCACATATGGTCTGGTGCTCCTGAAATTTATCAAGTACTCCTTGATAAAATCCAAAGAAGAATCAGCAATATTATTGGTCTTGATCTGGTGGCTCAGCTTCATTTGTTTTCCCACTGTCATAAGGTTGCCTCCCTTTGCCTTTTCTATAAATACTTTCATTGTAACTGTTTGGATGAGGGCTTTGCTATGGTACCTGGATTTTTGAATTTAAGCACAGTACTAGACTGGCATCAAGATCTCATCATTTTACAGTTGTGTTAGCTAGATGTGACTGTAAAATTTCTTTTCTCATATTCCTTGCTTGTGGAAATAACTATCTACTGTTCTCCTGATTACTCTTCTTTTTTTTTTTGCTCCTTTCTATTTAAAATTCTTCCATGCCCAGTAACTCCTCATGTCTTAGTGGCTTTACTGTCTTGCTTGAGGTAAACTTGATAAAAAAAAAAAAATGAGAGAGAAGGGAGAAAGAGAAACAAAGCAAGAGAGATTAAGAAAAAGATGAAAAAAGAGATAATAAAAAATAAGGTAAGTATAAAAGGGTACAACAGAAGTACATAGAAGGCAGTTTGAGAGCAAAGTTTTCAAATATAATATGTTGAATAAGCATGAAAAAAGGACGTATATTCAAACTGAAAAAGCTATGTGATATGGAGAAAATACAGAGAAAATAGAATATAAAGATGTCAAAAGGAGCATGAGAAGTGAGTGTTTTTTGTTTTTTTATTGATTTGTTTTTATGGCTTATCAACCTTTTGCAGGTTATTTAAAGCTGAAAAATATTTTGGGATTGTAAGATTTTTTTGGAGATAATAATGATTTACTGATACAAGTTTTACTATTTAACCCATAACTGGGAGAAGAGGAGGTGAACTGATACCACTCCAAAGGGTATTTGCATGTAAGTGAATATAAAGAACCTGACTGGAATAGGAACTAGGCTTTCTAATTTCTGACTCTGAATCTTTTTCCTTTGCACCAGTCATATTTCTGTGTAGGCACCCTCCTAGATTCTAACCAGGTTCAACATTGCTTAACTTCAGTGAATGTACAGGAATTGGTTTTTCAATGGGATATGGCCATAGCCCAAAGTGAGAGTTTAATGAATAAAAGAGGGAGGACAGGAAAAAGGTCAGAATTAGAGTAGAGTAACAAAGTGGAGGGAAGAGGAAAGATTATAAAATAAAAAAAGAGCATAGAAATGAGGAAATATCAGTATAAGAGAGGTAACATAAGATAGGGGTTGGATAGGGCAATGGATTGAGAAACAAAAAAGAGTACAAAGATGGTGAAATATTTGTCTGAGAGAGATGACATCAGATAGGGTCTTGACAGAACAAGAATTTGAGAATTAAACAAAGATCACAAAGATGGCAACAGATTGGTATAAGAGAGGTGATATAAAATAGAGCCTTGACCAAGCAAGAGTTAAAAATACCACAAAGATGGGGAAATATTTGTATGAGAGAGGTGACATCAGATAGGGTCTTGACAGAACAAGAATTTGAGAATTAAACAAAGATCACAAAGATGGCAAAAGATTTGCATGAGAGAGGTGACATAAAATAGAGCCTTGACTGAGCAAGAGTTAAAAAGAGCACAAAGATAGGAGAAATATTTGTATGTCAGAGGTGACATCAAATAGGGTCTTGACAGAACAAGAATATGGGAATTGAACAAAGACCACAAAGATGGCAAAAGATTGGTATGAGAGAGGTGACATTAAATGGGGAGTTGACCGAGCAAGAGTTAGAAAGAGCACAAAAATGGGGAAATATTTGTATGAGAGAGGTGACATAAGATAGATGGTTGGTAGTGAAAGAAATTGAGAAGTACAGAAAGAGCACAATGATGGGCAAAGAACTGTATGAAGGAAGTGACATGAAATTTGACAGAAGCAAGACATTGAGAAGTAAAGAAAAGTACAAAGGTGGAGAAAGAACTTTATGAGGGAGGTGACATAAAATAGGGGGTTAACAAAGAGACTGAGTGATAAAAAGAATATAAAACAAAACATAAAACTTCAATCAGAATAAAGAAAATGGATCAGGTAAATTCTTTTTGTAATTTAAAGATGGTACAGAAAACATACACAGAAATCAATATATAGGCAAAAGAAGTGTATCACAAATAAAAGGAAAACAAGAAACCAAATTCTGAAAGAATGAAAGCATGTGAGTGAAAAAGAAAGAAAGAAAGAAAGAAAGAAAAAAAGAAAGAGATTAATAGTGAAAAATAAAGCATAAATGAGTATGATAATGAGTGAGTGAAGATGCCGTGTGAGAGCAAGATGGCGACAACATAGTAAAAAGAAAGACAGAAGGATTGATAGAGGTACACCAAAAAATGTCAAATAGTATGAGAGAAAGAGAGAGACACATCATCAAGAGTGCTGAAAAGTGAGAGAGATAAAAATAGCAAAAAGAATGCTGAAAAATAAGAAGGATAGAGTAAGAAATGAACAATAATATCCCACAATGAGAGAAAAATAGAGACGGAAACAAGAAAGCAAAAAATGTGAGAGTGATAGAGACAGAGAAAATAATGTTAAGAAAATAATATGGACAAATGTAACAATGAAGTGAAGCAAGGAGAGATGACAGTTGCATAAATAGTTTAGAATGTAATGGAACCATTCTGAAGTTTCTCAATTTGCAGTCTTGTCTGTTTCATATCATGTGACCAATTCTTCCAAAGTAAAGTGCTGAAGCTGGCAGGTCTTTCTTGTATTTTCTGGAAGTCCTCAACACAATTGACATCAATAATTGGCATGTGGGAATATGGACCAGAGTTGATTCTTCTCTTAAAGAATACTCTGTGTTGATGTTCAAAAGATAAAATGTATTGGTCTGTCAGATCAAATACATTAAAAACTATTGCTTCTGATTCCTGCGAGATGACCAGAAGTTAAGAATAGAATTTAACAGATGAAAAATAGCCAAAGGCAAGAGGTCAGATTTTGGAAACGGTAATATTTAAAGATTGTTCTTATTTGAAAGTTCTCTTGAAATAGCCTGAATTCACATCAATGCTTTTATCATTTTCTTCTTTGCAATGTCAATAAAGTGACAATCTCTTTTCGGACAGTATATCTTAAGAAAGTTGTAGAATTGATCACCAGAAATATAACACAAAAAATATAACTAATAAAAGGAATGAGTTCTCTTTTGATAATGCCTCTTCACAGAATTATGAGCAGTGTCTGTATTATCTTCTCCCTTGTAAAAACTTTCACTGAAATGTATAGAATGTGCAACTAAACCATCCTTAAATGATGAGGCTAATGTAAACATGGCCTCAGCTGGATTCTGGAAAAGGTCATTGGTTTAAATTCCACCAAAGAAGCAATCTATTTTCAGATTATACATTTATATTATTTCTTGTGTGGTTGTGTATGAAACCATAAATCAAAAATAATTATATTTCTTCTCTCACTTATTAAATTTACTGAAAGTGTAAACTACACACACACACACACACACACACACACACACACACACACACACATTACACACACACACACTATATGTGTGTGTGTGTGTGTGTGTGTGTGTGTGTGTGTGTGTGTGTGTAACTGGCAGGCACCAAGCAATGTTAATCCCAATTTATTATTATTTATTACTTTTCTTATGTTTTTTGTTTGCTTTTGCAGTCAGCAGATAGGAGCAGGTGCACCCTTGTGAAAGGGGTAAATCCATCTCTTCTCCATTCAGCTTCACAGTTAAATAGCAGGCTGACTGTGTTCTCTAGTCATGATATATGACCACTCAAGGAGAAAGATAATGACTATGATCTCAACCCTGGTCAATATTTTAGATATAAATATATATATACAGGATGTGATGGATAAATTGTCATCTAAATTATGCAAAAATGAAAATAACACTGACATCTCATTTTAACAGATATGTTTAACAAAATCACACAAAAATATCTTGAAATACTAAAGAATAAATTTATTCAATAAAATTGCCAGTGGCTTCAACCTCACTCTCCAGATGACTTTGGAATCTCCTGCAACTCTTCTGGATGTTCTTGTTAATGAATGCTGCCATAATCCTTGGCTTCAGTTCATCTTTGGTGTCACAAGCAGTTTTGTTGGTCTCTCGATCAACTGTGCACCACACATAATAATTAAGGGGGTTGCAGTCTGGTGAGTTAGGTGATCAGATGTAAAGATTGATGTGGTTGCAGAAATTGTCTGAGAGCCATGAATGGGTTCTTCTGCTTGTGTCACATGGGGCAGAGTCCTGATGCAAGACATAGGGTCTTCCAGCAGCCACACTGTTGACTCAGGGATGTATTACCTCTTCAAGGCACTTGATGTATGCCTCAGTGTTGAGAGACTTTCTTTTTTATCAGAACTATCAGAGAGAATTTTTCAAGCTGCTGTACTTTTGTAATCACCATTAGACTCATCTAACTCTGTCCGAATTGTCTGCACTGTCTTCAGATTGACACCCAGAAATTCTGAAATGTTTGCTTCTGGCATGAATACCAAACAGGATAGCATGCTGTTTCCAAATTTCTGGTGGATTGAATTGTGTTATGGTGCTCTTTTTCTCACAGACAGGGCCCAACTGACCCTACTATTCTGTGCAGTGGGCAAAATAAAAACACAAACAACGTGCATGCACAAAATGAAAGATATAAAACGGCGACAATTTACCCATCCCACCCTGTATATTCACACACTATTTGACACCTGAAAAAATAAACAATATTATTGTTGAGTAAATAAATATCCAATATATAAATATAAAACATGCCATCAATCAATATAAAGATAAAACCACAACACAAATATCACACAAATCTTTAACAACAACACAAATTGAACCTAAAAAGCAAGCTCAAAAGATCAACAAAATTGCTTCAAACCTGAGATGCAACATACTAAATATATTTCTTAAAATTTCGAAGAAAAAAAACTTTGAATATGGGAAGCATCATAAATGACAAGTGACGTACAATATTTTAAAAAAATTAAAATCATGACGTAATAGACACCAAAAATTTTCAAAATGGCTAGTGTTAGCTGAAAATGCTTAGACATAGGAAGCTTTATTTTCAAATACCAACTTGAAATTTGTAAACATGATCTCTCTAAATGGGAATCACTTGCCTGCAGATCTAAAGTATTAATTATAGGTTTGTAAAAATCTAGTGATGCTATCATTCATTTTTTGGTAGAATGGGCATTAATGGTTTAATCACAAAGATCACACCTTATGCAGTGTATATTAAAATTCAACATCATCATCTTTAAACCTATTGATACCCATTTCTTCATATATATATATATATATATATATATATATATATATATATATATATATATATATATGTGTGTGTGTGTGTGCATGTGTGTGTGTCTATCTTTTTTGTTTATGAACATGTTTCTATATAGAATTCACATGTTTTTTCTTGATGAATATTGGCATAATTAATTCCTTCATATAGGTCACAATAACAGAGCACTTGATGAAGACTTAAGCACCTATACTTGGAAATGGTGTATATTTATATATCATCTAATGATTGCAGCATCTTTACAGATGATCACCATCTCATTAATTGTACATCGTTGAATTAGTTGTCAACTCATAAATGATCATGGGCTCTAAAATTTCTCTTTAGCCCAGCAGAGGAACTGCACAACTTTAATCATATGTGGCATACAAAGGTCACCTTGCTAGGATTTATTTGATCAAATTGAATAACATCAACCTCATGGGCCTTGATGTACTATTTAAGATCCGGACTGGATTCACTGATTTTACCACAGATTAAAATCACATTGTCAGCTGAGCTTGGAGGAAAGCTATCAAGGCTGTGTGTAATTATATATATATATGTGCATGGCCTGAAGATTGAGTTCAAACAGGAAAATGACAGTTGCTGTGAGGTGTTGACCTCAGTGTCCACATTTATATTTACATATATGCTGATATTGAACACTTTTACCCATAGCATACCATAAAATTATATATGAGGTCAACAATATGCAGTAACAATCTTCAGGCATTAAGATTGCATTCAAGCATGAAACAGATCATCACTATTCTGTGTTTATCTCAGTGTCTATCTATCTATCTATCTATATATATATATATATATATATATATATATATATATATATATATTTGTATGTTTGTGCCCAAAATAATGATGATTTACCTTATAATATATTCACTAATTTTAATAGACAATAAATAATTGGAAACATTTACTATAATTCTTTATTTAAGATTTTTTATATAAATTCCTTACTATTACGGAAACATTATCTCATACACATAATTGAAAATGTTCAGATTAGATTATATGATATAATAATGTACTTAATAAAAACAACTTTATAAATTTAGTTGATCCCCAAAATTAATTTTTTTTATATAACATATTTAGGATATGATATCCGTTAACTGATCCATGAAAATCAGATTTATATATTTTATTTCTAAAACTCAGTGTCAGGAGATAATTCTTTGAACTTTATATACATACATATATATATATATATATATATATATATATATATATATATATATGTAGGTGGAATGCTGAGGAGTAATGGATAGTGGCTTGTGTTGAGGAATCAGAGAGCCAAGTTTGAATTCCAGTCGAATCCATTACATTCGCTTATGTGCTAATACTTTTGGGAAAAGTGTGAATCCTCTTCTCCCTCCACCCATGGATAAATTGCAGGACAGACTTGGTTCTATAGCCTTGGATGGCAACTAGTCTAAAAAAAAAAGTTCCTAGGAACTGATCTGCTTGACCCTCATACGTCAAATTTGATGGGAGAGTCAAGAGTATATATATATATATATATATATATATATATATATATAACCTTTTCTGAAATAATATGTATTTACAAACACATATTTTTACTTTTATTTGCTTTGAATATAAATATTAAATATTCAAAAATATTTTTTGCTCAGAATATTATTTCAATTTAGAAAATATTATAAAATTGAGGATATTATAAAAAACCTAAGTAGCAATTACACAGCTCTGTTTTTATGTTTAAGGTGTTAAAAATGAGGTCGTAAATTAAATTAATTCACAGTAAATTATGAATAGCACAAAAAAGGAAGTCACGACACCACAAAAAAAGCAAGTGACTTATTTGCCCATGAATTATGTAACCAGATGAAAATGAAGGATACAGTAAAATAATAGTAGCAAAGAATACAGAAAAAAATTCTGGTTGAACTAAGTGTCTTGAAAAGGTTTCCTGTTTCCTGACAAAAAGCATGAACAACATGTTTCGTTTGTACTTGAGTAATTTACTTATCTACAAAGGCATTTCCCAAGGATGTAATTATCTGAGCAGCTGATTACTCTACCATCTTCAAACATGACCTTCCTGTCTTTTTTAACATGACCTTCCTGTCTTTTTTTCCTGTGTTCTTTTCCCTCCTACTATGATCCCACATGCACTTCTCAATGCATTTTCAACATTGAGGCTACAATATGACACTCTCATCTACTGTGAAATGAAAAACTGAATTTTTCATCTGTAGACTTCCCACTCAAAAAACTGTTGCAGGTGATTGCTTTCTTTGTTTCTCTTGATGACTTTCCTCAAATAATT